GGTCCCAGGTTCGATTCCGGTCAAGGGCATGTACCTGGGTTGCGGGCACATCCCCAGTGGGGGGTGTGCGGGAGGCAGCTGATCGATGTTTCTCTCTCATCGATGTTTCTAACTCTCTATCCCGCTCCCTTCCTCTCTGTAAAAAAATCAATAAAATCTATTTTTTTTAAAAAGAGTGAAAATTATTTTTTAAATTATCAAAACAAATATTGCAATTTCATATGAACTTTGTATAAAAATAATTCCAAGATCAACCAAAGGACTTGTATGCATGCATACAGGCCTAACCAATGGACACAGACACCAGGGGGGTGAGGGCATGAGTGGGGGAATGGGTGGGCCATTGGGGGGGGATAAGGACACATATGTAATACCTTAATCAATAAAGAAAAAAATAATAAAAAAATAATTCCAAAATACAGAACTAATTTTTACTCTCTATGCTGTTACACATTTCTGAAAATTAAAAAAAAAAATTCACATATTAAGTGCTGTGATTCCATAACCACTTAAGACAACTATTGAAAACCATTTGTTTTGAAACACATCCTTTAAAAAAGGTAAATCGAGGCAGGGATCTATCTAGTTGGGTAGAAGTTCTCAGGTAGAAGAGTGGGGAGTGCCTTACAAGCAAATAGCAGAGCATGGACACTGGCAGAAAACCAGAAATGACCTGCCAACTATTGTGGACAATGAGGGACCTGGTGTGCGATGGATTTTCAGGTGCAGCCTATTAATCAATGACTGAATGCCAGCTGGAACCTGGATGGGAGCTACAGAGTGTAGCACTGGAAAACAAGTTGAGCTTTAAGAGATATAGACAGGGCTGGGTCTCACTACTGCAGATTCTATTTCAGTAATTCTAGGGCAGTGATGGCGAACCTATGACACGCGTGTCAGAGGTGACACGCGAACTCATTTTTTTGGTTGATTTTTCTTTGTTAAATGGCATTTAAATATATAAAATAAATATCAACAATATAAGTCTTTGTTTTACTATGGTTGCAAATATCAAAAAATTTCTATATGTGACACGGCACCAGAGTTAAGTTAGGGTTTTTCAAAATGCTGACACGCCGAGCTCAAAAGGTTCGCCATCACTGTTCTAGGGCAGTGCCCAAGAACCTGAGTTTTAGAAATCATTCCCAGGTTGTTGTGATGTCCACCCCTAGTGCAAACCTGTGGTAAGAATGACTTCATAGGAACTTCTCCCCGTGAGCACGGGTGACGTGCAGGACCAGAAATACTTGACAGACTCACTAATGGAGGTGCCAACAACACGAACCATTTTAGATTGTTTATTATGGTGACTCGAAGGAAGAGAGGAGCAAAATTAACCTGACAGAAAAGGTAACAGGAGAAAATGCTGGAAATGGTGGCCACTGAGGACTGTCAGTGGTGTGCATGGACAGTCTTAATAAGGATTGATGCAGCAGAAATGAAGGAGATGAGATAGGAAGAATTCAGATTTTAGATTTTAGGGGTTAAATGAATATGACAATGAAAAACAACTAGTTTTTCAATTACTTGGAAAAGAAAAGAAAAATCAGTATTTTTTAAATAACTGAAGTGTAATAATCGAAGATATTTAGCCCTGGCCATGTGGCTCAATTGGTTGGAGCGTCACCCTGTAAACCAAAAGGTTGTGGGTTCTATTCCTGATCAGGGTACATACCTAGGTTGCGGTTTCAATTCTTGGTCAGGATGCCGTATTCGAGGCAACCAATCCATGTTTCTCTCTCTCTCTCTCTCTCTCTCTCTCTCAAAAAATCTATAATAAAACATACCCTCAGGTGAGGATTTTTAAAAAAGAGATAAAAGAGAGAAAGAGATACCTACCTTATCTAAAACCACATCACTCTTCCTGAGTTCTAAGACCTTGGAGAGATACCGACAGAGCTCAGCGTTAGCCTCTCCTTCCGATGGAGGTGCTGCAATAGCTACACTCACAGCTTCGGTTGTCAAATCTGGAAGGAAAGCAGTGTGGACTTTATCCTTGAGGAGTTCTTCTTTGGGAAGTGAGAGTATTTTGTAAAAGAATTTGCATTTGCCTGGCACACAGGAGGTTTTTACTGTTAGATGCAGAAATGAAGAATTAAACTAATCAGATTTAAGGGGAACATAAACATATCCTTCACTAATACAGAAAACAAATTCAGAGAAGAAAAACTATGTTTACGCTGACCAGGATGGGCCTAAAGAATCCTGGGCAGCATGGGGTGGTGAGGGCCTTGGGGCGGGGGGTGGGAGCAGGCTTGAGGGGGTGAACGAGGGGGAAAAAGGGGGACATATGTAATACTTCCAACAATAAGGATTTATTAAGAAAGAAAAACAAAAAAGCCTGGGCAGTATCCTGGATTTAGGGAACTGGAAAACACGCTTATCTGACAGGAAGTGCTCACGGAGGGAGTCAGGAGCTGGGGTGGAGGCCCAGCAAACGTCACTGAAGAAGGATGAACAGGGCAGCTCCCTGGACTGTACAGGGTTGTTCAGTTTCCTCATCAGGACAACGAGAGCAGGGGGCTACATCTGTCTCGTATGTGAAATGCCTCTTTAATGTTTTCAAACCGTAATGTTTAATAAATAATTACATAACACATACACTAATGTTAAGGGCACACGAACATGTTTTAAGGACTTTACAAATATGAACTTGTGTAATCCTCATAACAGCTTTATGAAGGTACTGATACCAATATTATCTCCATTTTACAAATGAAATAGGAATCGAGATGAGTGATGTTGTGAATCAAAAATAAACTTAAACCCATGCTGTGAAATCCAGGGACAAGGAACACTGCTTCGGAACAGACTCCCCCATCAATACTGCATTTACAAAGGGCAGCCTGCCTGTTCTTTCTGAGAGAGAGAAGTATCTGCTCAAAGCAGTTTGTAAGTGAGCTTGAGCTGGTCCGACACCTGGGTTACTCGGGCATTTCCACACACTCACACCTTCCCTGTGTGAACAACCTGGCCACAGGATCCACAAGAATGAGGAAAAGCCCTAGCCCCGTGGTTGGCAAACTGCGGCTCGCGAGCCCCATGCGGCTCGGCTCTTTGGCCCCTTGAGTGTGGCTCTTCCACAAAATACCAGCTCTTCCACAAAATACCGACTTCTGCACATGGGCCACGAAGTTTGAATCGCACTGTACGTGCGGGCCCGCACATGGTATTTTGTGGAAGAGCCACACTCAAGGGGCCAAAGAGCCGAGCCGCATGGGGCTCGCGAGCCGCAGTTTGCCAACCACGGGGCTAGGGCTTTTCCTCATTCTTGTGGATCCTGTGGCCAGGTTGTTCACACAGGGAAGGTGTGAGTGTGTGGAAATGCCCGAGTAACCCAGGTGTCGGACCAGCTCAAGCTCACTTACAAACTGCTTTGAGCAGATACTTCTCTCTCTCAGAAAGAACAGGCAGGCTGCCCTTTGTAAATGCAGTATTGATGGGGGAGTCTGTTCCGAAGCAGTGTTCCTTGTCCCTGGGGTAAAACAACTGTCCTCTCCTGTTACAGATTCTAAGGTGTACATTTTCTCACATTTTAAATAAAGTGTTTGATATAGATTTTGCCTTTCTTACTGGTGCATAAAATACTTGTGTACCTTGCAGTTGATGGCATCTTAGACCTAAGGAAACCTGGTATTCCAACAGCAGACAGTGCCCACAGCAATACTTAGAAAACGCTGGCCAAGGAGGGTATGGCCAAGCTGGCACAGTCAATCACACAACCAGGCCTAGCACCCCAATTCTGAGGTCTAATTTTCACATATATTTTTAAAAATTGTAATACAGAGCTGTAGAGGTGAAAAAGTCCTTCAAGATAATTCAGATCAATGGTTCTTAAACTTTTTCCCCCACTAATATTTCCT